TATATACCAGCTAGCCCAACTTCAGTAACCCTACAAACGTCACAGCTGTTTAATTTTCTGTCTTTATTTATGTTGGAAGTGACAGCAGAGCTGTACGTTTGAATTTTTTTCAGAAATCTCTCAGTCAGAACATGCTATATCATGTTTAGATGGAAACTAGAGAGCTAACTTCCTGCTAATTTCTAACTCCATTAAATGTAATACATTCTGTTATCATGGGTGCCTGGATGTTAAACTTAATTGTTACACCTGGTAAAGATCATTTTATTAAAGATGAAAGAATTTAGACAGTTTTTAACGCTCAGTGATGCCGCAGTGTTTGTTTGACTTCGGGACCTGAAGCGGACGGAGTTTTGGACCCAGATTACTCCGAGTCCGCAAGGCTCCTGACTACGGTAACCGTAATGCTCCGACAATCCATCAAGCGGTGCGGCTTCGTAGCTTACCGAAGTCGTACTAAAACATTTTTGACAGATTTTTGAGCGCCCTGTGTGACATAAAATCGGTTCGAGGTCAGTAAGCAGAATTCATACATAAGGCGCACTGTCGATTTTGGAGAAAATTAAAGGATTGCAGAAGTGGAAGTGCGGAAAATATGGCCCCAAACCATCACAAAGCCTCCACCGTGCACTTTGGCAGCAACTAATGAGGAGTGGTTTGACACTTCTGCACAGTACTGTGCTTTTTGGCCACTCTGGAGCATCTCTAACAGTGTTAGAGATATATATCATAACACTGCCTGGTTTGCATGTTCAATTTTAACCCTAAATTTACTGCAGTACACAATAAGCTTTCTTTCTGTAGATCTCATGTCACATCGTGTTTCTTACCTGCAGTCATGTCTGTAAAAGGCCCCTGGAAGCAGATGCTGAAGCCCTTCATGAGCAGCTGAAAACAAAAGGAAGACTTAAAAGAAGGATAAAAAAGCTGCTTTAAAATGTTTTCAAAAATATGTAGAGTAAAGCAAGTAAAGAGGACATTTACTCAGTGGATTTAACCTTCAAACAATGCTCAACAACACTGGATGAGAGCAGCCAACACTGCTATTACCATTACAGCTGAGTGTGTTTCTGAACTCTTCACCTGTGTAAAGGGTTACAGTGGTAGAGCTGAAACACCTCTCCAAGCATATCCTGCAATTTACAACACCTATTCCTCACTTACTGGGTAAAATAAAGCCTTGAGACCTCGTTGATTTTTTTGCCCTCACTGTAATACAGTAAATGAAGTGATGAGTAAAAGAGAACCGTGCAAATAAAGCTACCGTCACCGAGGTAATATCACACTTAAAGGAGGCAAAGAAAAACGAGAGGCTCGACACCAGGGACGCTGTTTTATCACACTCAGGGTCAATAGGCTTGCTTGAAATGGGAATGTAAACTTGTTTCTTTGAACTATGATAACCACTGAAAGGAAACTCATGACACGGCCTCATCTACAGCGTGTGGCAGGATGGAAGTGTTTGAAAGATAAATGTCCGAGCGACAGGGGAGAGAAATACTCATTTCTCACGCTTCCCTGTACGTCCATAATCATCATTAGCCAGAGGTGCTCGGTGAGATGAAAAAGTGTTTCTGTTACAGATTTTTAATTTAGACAACAGCTAATGTCCTTCAGGAGGTATTAGAGTGTGATAACAAGCACACACAGGCACACACACGCACACACACTCACGCAGTTTCTTTGACTGATTTCCAGAGCGTTCTGGTGACAGACTCCCCGACTCTCCATTTCATCTGTTAGTCCGTTTGTCACACTAGTGCAGGTGACAGAAAGTGAATATGAACGGGACAATCTGCCTGGCTCCATCAAATTGCCGGCACGGTGCACATGCCACTTAAATAAGCCTGAAATTACTAGCTAATTCAATTAGCAGAGGTTCTTCAAAGGCAGTGATACGGCCAACATGACATCTAGCCATTTCTAATTTTCCCCCTCAGTGGCAACAGTAGTGGTCCTGCTGGCCTTACACCAAGGGGAAAATTACAATTAGCTCCTCACAACAGGGTCTGAGCTAAGAGGCTGGTGCAACACGAGGAAACAAGTTCAAGTGCTGCTTGTAATTGGGCCATTTGATTTGATTTTCCTCTCTGAATCACAGACTATTCTTTGTGGACTAACACTGTGCTTTTAAAAAATATGAGAGCAGTGGTAACTGTCGATAACAGCAGGAATTAATGCGCCGATTTGCTGTTTTCGCTTTGTTTTCCTAAATAATTGTTGTGTTCTAAAACAAATTTGCTTCATCCAGTCAACATGTTGACATGCTGCAAAATCTCTATAAGCTACAGTAAAACAGACTGACAGAATGGAAAGGCATTGGTGGGCTAATGAACTGAACAGATGAAGAAGATGTGCATCTTCATGGATATATAACTAATGAAGCTTTGAGTATTTTAAAGGCAGATTTAGGGAGGAGCAATATAAATGTAGCAGAGCCACGAATCCTGTGGTGCAGGATGAAAGTATAGCTTAGATTTTCAATGCTATGTAGATGATACCCAGCTTTATTTATCCATGAAGCCAGAATGCAGTGTGTCTTAAAGACATAAAAGCCTGATGACCTCTAAGTTTGTGCTTTCAAATTCAGATAAAACGGAGGTTATTGTACATCGTCCCTAAAAATCGTAGTAATCTGGTATCTTTACCTTTTCTAGACAGCATTATTGACCTCCAGTAACACTGTGAGGAAACTCAGAGTCTTTTTTAACAATGATATGTCCTTCAGTGTGCACATTAAACAAATATGCAGAACTGGTTACTTGCATTTGTGCAAACATTAGAAAATAGAAATAGAGGAGGAGAGAACTCAGTAGGTAGAGTGTTTGCCCCATGATCGGAAGGTCGGGGGTTCAACTCCACCGAATAGCTCCCCTGAGCTACCCCTGAGCAAGGTACTGTCCCTACACACTGCTCCCCGGGCGCTGGATTGGTGGCTGCCCACTGCTTCACTGAGTGAATCTGTTAAATGCAGAGAGAAATTTCCCTACAGGGGATTAATAAAGTATACAAAAAAAAAATACTGTCCCAGTTTGATGCTGAAAGACTTAATTCACGCATTTATTACTTCTAGGCTGAACTACTGTAACTCATTATAATCAGGCTGTCCTAAAAGCTCCCCAAAGACTCTTTAGTTGTTCCAAAATGCATCAGCTAGAGACTAACAGGGACTAGAAAGACAGCACCCATCTTATCTTGCAGACCTCATAGTACTGAATTACCCCAAGAGAGCACTTCGCTCTCAGACTGCTGGTTTACATGTGGGTCCTAGGATATTAAAAAGTAGAATGGGAGGCAGAGCTTTAAGGCTTCAGGCCCCTCTTCTGTGGAACCAGCTCCCAGTTTGTTTGGGAGACAGACGGCATCACTACTTTTAAGATTAGCCTTAAAACTTGGATTTTTAATAAAGATTACAGTTAGTGCTGAATCAGGTGACCCTTAGTTAAACTGCACTAAGTCTAAGCTGCTGCAGGACTTCTTATCACGTACTGTTTCTTCTTCTTTTTCTTATTCACTCAGAGAAATACCAATTCAATCTCTGGTTCTCTTCCATAGTGTGTCTCCCTCCCCTCACTGTAACTGGATCACAGCAGGTGGCTGCTCCTCCCAGAGCCTGGCTCTGCTGGATAATTTTTCCTGTTAAAAGGGAGTTTTTTCTTCCCACTGTTTCCAAGTGGGATTCACAGGGAATCATCCGATTGTTGGGTTTATTGCTCTATTCTTGTAGGTTCTTTACCTCAGAATATAAAGCGACTTGAGGTGATTTTGTGCTATACAAATCAAACTGAATTGAATGCATTGCAGTTTCAGTGAGCATGCAAAGGAGCTATAAGGCTATGTTGTTAACAATCAAGCACACATAGTAAAAAGCTATTGTGCCATTCATCAATACCATTTCTCCTCAAAAGTAACAATAATGCAAAGCCACATATTGACCCTACCTGAAATCTTTGTTATGCACCTCTTTAACTGTACCTTTTGTAGCTGTACCGCTCTTATCAAAGTTTCAGAGTACTTTTAGATTTTCTTTTAAGCCTCAAGCTAAAACATCCGTTTTAAAGCTATAATATTAATTTTATGTGGCATAGGACTGCACAATTAACTGAATTTTAATCTTGATCACGATTTTAGCTTTCCACAATTAAATCAAGACGATCGACTGATATTGCTCCATCAATCGAATGCAAAGCACCGCCAGATCACTGCCTGATGATGTGGCTGCATATGCCAGTCACAGCTGTTCCCCTGGAGACGAAGGTTTTCTGGATAGAAAGTAGCACTATATTAAAAGACTGCTTTACAACACATAATAGTCCATTAAAACTAAATACGGATGTCTGGCACAGCTGAAATGAAGAGCTTGTCCCTCAAAGCAGATCATTGTGTGGAAACACTCCAAACACAGCAAATGACAAATAATATGCAAGGACTGCTGGACGAGGGTGCCTGCACTGCAAAGGAGCACAACTCACTGACTCAAGCCCCTGAAAACGCACCAAACAGTATAACAAATGTATGAATATTCATATTGTTGTCTTTTGTATTGAATTGTAAATAACTGGAGATGAGTTATTATTGTTTGTTGACAATCCATACCACACTTGATCTATGAAGCTTTATGATCAATTTCTATTTTTATTATAAGAGTATATTTATCAGTCCCCTTCAGTTAACAAAGCACTCACATTACTGTCTTCAGTGGTCCGAGCTCTTGAGGGGCCCTGGTGGTTGGGCCCATTCACCACATCCCCTCTCACCTCAAACGGACTCTGGTTAAGAAGAAAGCAAAAAGACTCAAATAGGCAAACATGAAGCTCACAGTTAGCGTCAAAATTTTCGGCTCGGTTATTTTCTATTTTCATTTTCGTTTTAAAAACAGCCTAAGTGATTATTCAATCTCAGGACTGAATTTAAACACAGAGTCTGTTAAGAGTAATTAATTTCTTCCCAGAGTCAGGTATGCTCTTATGAGTACACTGAGCATTCTTCAATGTGACAGCAATCAACTTTTAATCGTAAAGAGTGCATTTCTGTGTTCATGATATAATGCTTTTTTTTTTTTCTTCTTAAAACTGCCCCAGTGATGGATAAAATAACTTGAAATACCGATACTAAATGTAGCCTGGCTGGATTACACTGGCCTATCACAGAAGCAGACTTGCTAAAACAAATGGATGGCTAATCATTTATGGTGGTATATCACAGCGAGCCACAGCCAGAGATTCATCATGTGGCCTTAATTCAACATCGGGACAAACACAGATGTGACTGTAAGCCACCGCTGCGCTGATTCAACGAGCACGCGGGCGAGCGTACCTCATCTAAGACTTTCTTTTGTTTGAAGCACTCAGAAATCCCTACAGAGAGAAAAAAAGAGCAAAAGATTGCGAGCTTATTATCTGACACACAAAAACCTTACTGTGTAAAACACCCTTTTATTCCAGCCTACCTTTTCATGCCATGCTGTTTTTTACATTTAAATTTAGACTAATTACTCTTTACTTATTAGTTAAGTTAAGTTATACTTACACTGGAAACTCAACACCCACTTCCTGCCTGCAATTCCCAGGAAGTATTTCAGTGTGCGCTCACATACCAGCTGTTCATCTGGCAGAGAGAGAAAAAGAGCAGACGCATGAAAACAAATGCAAAATACGAGAGCTCTTTCATGAGGTGATTGTACAAATACACCTTATACACTGTAAAACTGACCAAGTATCTTTTAAGGCCTACAAGTCACAAACTTGCTAAGTGTGAGTCCATGGAGCTATACGAGGGGCTAGAGATGCTCAGCTGGCTCCTTACTACCAACTGAGCATCCTTTGAATACCATGGCCTACCTGAGCCTTGCTGACATGTCCATATCTTTATGACCGCAGTCTATCCATCTTCTGATGGCTGTTTCTAGCTGTATAATGTGCCATGTATCAAAGCTTAAATAATCTCACAGTGGTTCCTTGAACATGGCAGTTCACTGTGATCAAAAGCCCCCCCCACACTAACTAGATTGTAATCAAATAAAGCAATATGGCATGTGATAAATGGGAGATTCACATCATACATGTGCTGCCAACCAATCTAACCCATGAAGAGTTCAGGCAGTTAAGAAGACAGAAGGAGGTTGAACGAAGAACCAGCGAGTTGTGCCTAATAAATTGACCAGTGACTATAAAAGGTTATTATATGTTATTAAGGTTATTAACCGTCTGAGCTCTTGGACGCAACGCTAAAAGGTTTCTGTTGCAAAACAAAGGACAATATATGGTTATAACTTCTGCTCACTCTTGCCAGAAATTACTTTTTTAATATGTTATCATTTGCAGTATTATCATTATTACATTTAAATTTAATATGGAAATCCTGGTAAAGTGTTGTAAACAAAGTATAGTCATTCTTTTTCATTAAAAAAATAAGATTAACTGATGCCCTATAGTTGCAGTCACACAAGACTTATTATCTCAAAGCAAATGTAATCAGTAGCAGTGTTGCAGTGCAACTCAATAGACTTACAACACTTTGCGTTCCAAGTTATGAGTTATTTAGCTACTTTTTAATAAGCAATCAGTTAATTCTAACATTTTTCTCCTTTCCTCTGTTCTTTCTGTTGCCACAAAAAGGATAAAGCCTGATGCAATCCAGCTGCTCTCCAACTAGTGTCAGTGCCCATGCTCACGAGATTTGCAAGGAGCCATTTCTTCTAATATTTCAGATTTACGAGTGAAAAGGACAAGAACAACACCACAGTGAAATTCAAATTGCGTCTGGGTGATAATAAGTCAATAAGTCTTTCAGGCTCACAAAGAGCTCACTTCAAGTTTGAAGTAGCACTTTCAAGCTAAGAGCATCTTCACAACAGCTCCAAAACATCAACAGTTAGGTTTTAGTTCAGCGGAGTCTGGTTAAGTGGCGAGACGAGATGCTCCCAGTCTGAACTGGGAACGAGGTAAAGTCAGTGTACTCGGAGGTAGATTCACAGTTGACTGCACACACAGTACAACCTAACATGTGCAAAATGACTTAAACACGTTTCTTTTCCCAGTCGAGAATACTGTTACATAATTGCTATTAAATGGCATAAATCGGGAGACCTAACAACAAGAGGAAGCCAAGACAGATCAGAAGTCAGATGGTCTAACAGGTGAGTCAACACAATCGTGTCAGTGCATGCACAGGAAAAAATGTCCAACTCTGGCTCATTCTGATGATTTAAAGGAAATCAATCTTCATCTTTTCTTCTCTTTTCAAATCCGTGAAAGAGGCAGACAGAAACTTTTTAATCCAGGTAAGAGTCAAAAATGCCCATTACTGCCAGTTCTTCTGAGAAATGCATTTTAAAGGCTTTAAACTTATTTTCTACTAATGGCAGTAATATGAGACCTCCTGCTCCTTTCCCAAAATTTAACCATAAAGATCAAGAGGCCTACGATTCCTATTTTTAGTTGCCCAGGAAACCGCTGCAATTAAAAGAAAAAAAAAAGAAAAAAGGAGGACTTCTTAAAATGTGACAGTTAACATGGTGCTTTGGAGACAGCGAGCTTTGAAATTAAAAATAATCTATCAGAGAGGGTAATTAGCAACTAGCGGATAAATGGAGGAGAGAGTGTGTGGGGTGGAGAGAAACAGAGAGCTTATCTCCGAGGAGCGCTTTAAAAGACGCACGAAACAAGCTGTAACTACACGTAGAAAGAAAATGTCCTTTTCTAATTGCAAATGTTCTTTTAGAAAAAAAACACAAGAGCTAGAAACAACTAAAGTAATGAGGATTTAATTGCTCTGTTGCCTATCAAGCCAATTTGTCCAGTGGCTCCCTTTGACTCTAAAAGGAGAGCATGTGACTGTACTTACCTGTACGCATGATGACATGAGTCACTTCTGGTGTTACCTGGGAAACCACACGGGCACCAACTCTCTTGGCAAACTTTTTCACCATAATCTGTTGGCAACAGCGTCATATAAGTTTATTTATTCTAAAACTGACTAAGTTTAAAAAGCAAACAAACTGACTGATTGTCCAAAAGGTCACCTGCTCATTTGGGCCCAATCCTGATGACACAAGCACCAGCTTAGCTTTGCATGCGTCTTTTGGAGGGCTGTTATTTTCTTTGTCTTCTTGCCCGTCGGACAGAGAACTGCTGTCCTTCTGAGTCTTAGCTGCTGAAGTTGAAGAAGGTGTTTTGGAGACTCCAGTGCCTTTGACACCGACCCCTTTATGCGCAGACTTCTGCGCTGCTGGAGAGAAAAAACACAGGACACACAGTCACCTGACCTGACCCATTCCTCTTTCACCACTTTTGGTGATCCTTCATCAGAGATTAACCTTATCAACCACAGTCAGGCTAAATCAAACAGACTCAAAAAAAAACTGCAGTAATGTCAAATTGCTCCTTTATGTTCATGTGGTATTAAATGTGCAAATAGAATAATGAAGCTATCTGAAAAAACATGTTTCTACAGTTCACTTCATACCCATCTGTGTGTCACCTTCAGGCTCTGACGGGTTGGGTTCGGGAACACCTTTGCAATCAGATGGTTCTGGGTTTAGGTTCGGTCCCGCTTCTGGAACATCTTTCCTGCAAAACAGACGTGTCTGTAAGCTCGGCATGCATTGGTTTTAACTTTACATTTCCTGGATTTTTGACCTGCATGTACAGACTGTGCAAAGGTTCTTTGTATTTCGCTTCCAAAGAGCCAGATTCCATTCTAATATTTTAAGTGGTCTTCAGCAGTACTTTTCCAGACTTTCTAAAGGTCTATGAGCATTTTTCTTTGGACCCTGGTTGCTATTTTTTCCATTCATTTTGCATTTGGTTTTTGTATCTAGTTGCGTATCCAGAAGATAATTGTTACACAATGTTGGATCTGTGGATCGCTGCATATTCGGGATGCACCGATTGTGAAAGTTTTGATTTCACAATCGGTGCGTCACAGAAGGTGTAACAAATTGTTACATTTGAAATTGTTACACAATCACCTTCTGTTACATTTGAATTTGTAACAAATTGTTGCACAATCACCTTCTGAATTTGTACAGTTCTTCCCCATAAAACTGTATTTCCATGTGAGTTTTCGTATGTTTCAATAAATCACTGCACTTTTTCCCCCATCTCCTATAATATAATACACATACTACATATACACATATAAAGAAATTATAAAACTTTTGCACAAAACTGAATTAGTACCACACGTCTCGAGTGCCTGTTCCCCTTTGAATAACACTCCAGTTCTAATTCCTAGCAACACTTTAAGTTTGCAGAGCGGGGCTGGGACAAAATATCAGTATTTTCCTCATGTGATGAGACTATGATGGCAGCAAACATCAGTATTTTTATTAAAGCATGCAGGCGCTCTAAATGGATACCCAAGCCCATTTAAATGACCAGAGTCACTATTCATGTCTGCTGATGGTGAATCTTACCAAATGAATCAGGACAAAAATAAATAAATAAAAGAGCTAATGGGAGGGAAATGGTGAGAAGCGGGGCAGAGCTAAGTAACAGAACTGACATATCATTAAAACTGAACTCTTCTCCTTCAGTTAAACAGATATTGTGATATTTCATAGATGACTGCCTTGCAATGTATTGAGCAGAGCACTATATCATGCATGATGCATTAGAATATCATCAGTTATCAGGATTCCCAACTCAACTGCATGCTACAGCGTAAATGTTGATCCAGGACTTGACAAAGAAAGAAAGTTGATATCAGTGACACATTCTTATATAATTTTCGGCAGAGGTATGCTTTTATTCTCCAAAATGAATAAAGTTGGTAAAGTTTCCTTCCTTTGTTTTCTTTTGGGTTTATTTCTTCACTCAAAGTCTCTGGCAGAGTGCCTGCGTTTAAATTACCTGCACCAGCTCACTGAAAACTTAGACTGCAGTGCCAACTAATCTTTCCAATTTCACTACTGCAGTTCTGGAATATGTGCTTTTTAATTTAGAACTTGTATAACCAAACCCCTCTGTGTTCTCATCCGCCATTTCTCCCACTCTCTCGCCCAAAGGACAGCACGTAGAACTCTGGGAGGCGAGAGGTTGTATGTGTGTGTCTGTGTGCGCAATCAGTCGCAAGAGATAAATTACTGTGGCAATGCAAGTTTCCCGCTAAGTGCTCTAAATGACATATAAGATGCAGTCAGTAATGACTTTTTTATTCTCCACAGCATAAGCAGATTCTGGGTTCATTAGTGAGATTATCTGCCTGTCCTCTTGAGATGCATCACCCTCTGAGAACCACCAACACACACACACTCACAGACACACACACACACATCAGGCTTCTGCTGCTGTCACACAGGCCACAGCGTGTTTCACTCGGCGCTGCTGTGGGACGACATGAACAGTGATACAAAGTATCGATACAAAGTGTGCGTTACATGTTCTTTGATGTGTGATATGATTTTAAA